AGCCGACGGAGCGCCGAGGTGAGTTGTAGGGAGTTGGCCCCCTCTGCTGGCGGAGATGGAGATGTAGCTGCGACCAGAGACACCCACCAGAGAGACACCCACCAGAGAGACACCCACCAGAGACACCCACCAGAGACACCCACCAGAGACACCCACCAGAGAGACACCCACCAGAGACACCCACCAGAGACACCCACCAGAGAGACACCCACCAGAGACACCCACCAGAGACACCCACCAGAGAGACACCCACCAGAGACACCTACCAGAGAGACACCCACCAGAGACACCCACCAGAGAGACACCCACCAGAGACACCCACCAGAGACACCCACCAGAGAGACACCCACCAGAGAGACACCCACCAGAGACACCCACCAGAGAGACACCCACCAGAGACACCCACCAGAGACACCCACCAGAGACACCCACCAGAGACACCCACCAGACACCCACCAGAGAGACCCACCAGAGAGACACCCACCAGAGACACCCACCAGAGACACCCACCAGAGAGACACCACCAGAGAGACACCCACCAGAGACACCCACCAGAGAGACACCCACCAGAGACACCCACCAGAGACACCCCCAGAGAGACCACCCACCAGAGACACCCAACAGAGACACCCACCAGAGACACCCACCAGAGACACCCACCAGAGACACCCACCAGAGAGACACCCACCAGAGAGACACCCACCAGAGACACCCACCAGAGACACCCACCAGAGACACCCACCAGAGAGACACCCACCAGAGACACCCACCAGAGACACCCACCAGAGACACCCACCAGAGACACCACCAGAGAGACACCCACCAGAGACACCCACCAGAGAGACACCCACCAGAGACACCACCAGAGACACCCCCCAGAGAGACACCCACCAGAGACACCCACCAGAGAGACACCCACCAGAGAGACACCCACCAGAGACACCCACCAGAGACACCCACCAGAGACACCCACCAGAGAGACACCCACCAGAGAGACACCCACCAGAGACACCCACCAGAGACACCCACCAGAGACACCCACCAGAGACACCCACCAGAGACACCCACCAGAGACACCCACCAGAGAGACACCCACCAGAGAGACACCCACCAGAGAGACACCCACCAGAGACACCCACCAGAGACACCCACCAGAGACACCCACCAGAGAGACACCCACCAGAGAGACACCCACCAGAGACACACACCAGAGACACCCCACCAGAGAGACACCCCACCAGAGAGACACCCACCAGAGAGACACCACAGAGAGACACCCACCAGAGACACCCACCAGAGGACACCCACCAGAGGACACCCCACCAGAGAGACACCCACCAGAGAGACACCACCAGAGACACCCACAGAGACACCACCAGAGAGACACCCACAGAGACACCCACCAGAGACACCCACACAGAGACACCCCACCAGAGAAACCCACCAGAGAACAACCCCACCAGAGAGACACCCACCAGAGACACCCACCAGAGACACCCACCAGAGAGACACCCACCAGAGACACCCACCAGAGAGACACCCACCAGAGACACCCACCAGAGAGACACCCACCAGAGACACCCACCAGAGAGACACCCACCAGAGACACCACCAGAGACACCCACCAGAGAGACACCCACCAGAGACACCCACCAGAGACACCCACCAGAGAGACACCCACCAGAGACACCCACCAGAGGACACCCACCAGAGACACCCACCAGAGACACCCACCAGACACCCACCAGAGAGACCCACCAGAGAGACACCCACCAGAGACACCCACCAGAGACACCCACCAGAGAGACACCCACCAGAGACACCCACCAGAGACACCCACCAGAGACACCCACCAGAGAGACACCCACCAGAGACACCCACCAGACACCCACCAGAGAGACACCCACCAGATACACCCACCAGAGACACCCACCAGAGAGACACCCACCAGAGACACCTACCAGAGAGACACCCACCAGAGACACCCACCAGAGAGACACCCACCAGAGACACCCACCAGAGAGACACCCACCAGAGACACCCACCAGAGAGACACCCACCAGAGAGACACCCACCAGAGACACCCACCAGAGAGACACCCACCAGAGACACCCACCAGAGAGACACCCACCAGAGAGACACCCACTAGAGACACCCACCAGAGAGACACCCACCAGAGAGACACCCACCAGAGACACCCACCAGAGAGACACCCACCAGAGACACCCACCAGAGACACCCACCAGAGAGACACCCACCAGAGAGACACCCACCAGAGAGACACCCACCAGAGACACCCACCAGAGAGACACCCACCAGAGAGACACCCACCAGAGAGACACCCACAACAGAAACTCCCCCCACCACGCCAATGATGATGCTGCTGCTGCCGCACCGTAAGAATCTGCGTCTCGTCTGTGCAGCCCCGCCCAGAGATGTTGACTACCTCGCCTGGTATGCAGGAGGTCGTGGGCTCGATCCCGACCCTGACGATGCCTGCTGCTGTATATTTAGAGTTTGCGTGTCTCTCTCTCTCATCATCATCACGGTTGCTAGGAGATGTTAACTACCTCGCCTGGTATGCAGGAGGTCGTGGGCTCGATCCCGACCCTGACGATGCCTACTGCTGTATATTTAGAGTTTGCGTGTCTCTCTCTCATCATCATCACGGTTGCTAGGAGATGTTAACTACCTCGCCTGGTCTGCAGGAGGTCGTGGGCTCGATCCCGACCCTGACGATGCCTACTGCTGTATATTTAGAGTTTGCGTGTCTCTCTCATCATCATCACGGTGGCTAGGAGATGTTAACTACCTCGCCTGGTGTGCAGGAGGTCGTGGACTCGATCCCGACCCTGACGATGCCTGCTGCTGTATATTTGGAGTTTGCGTGTCTCTCATCAGCATCACGGTTGCTGGGAGATGTTAACTACCTCGCCTGGTACGCAGGAGGTCGTGGGCTCGATCCCGACCCTGACGATGCCTACTGCTGTATATTTGGAGTTTGTGTCTCTCTCTCTCATCATCATCACCACGGTGGCTAGGAGATGTTAACTACCTCGCGCCTAGTATACAGGAGTACATGGGTTCGATCCCGACCCTGACGCCTGCTGCTGCTGTATATTTGTAGTTTGTGTGTGTCTCTCTCTCCCCAAGGTCGCGTGGATTTTTTTTTTATCCGGGTCCTCCTCCGGTTTATAGCCGCTGCTGCTATAAATTTCCACACGACGACGATGATGATGACAAGCCACTTGGTTGAGCGATCATTTGTGAAAGCCAGGTCGCTTCTGAAAAAGAGCTACATAGCTCAGCGGGGCCTTACCTGAGTTTAGTTTATAGTTTAGAATGGAACATTAAATAAATAGCTGCAGTGGTGTGCCACACTATGGACCGTAAAATGAACCCATAGACACCCATAGATATATTTTAATGACACATTCCCTTTGCAAGAGTTAAAATTCTTAATGACTAGATTTGGATAAGAATGACAATCATATTCTACTTAGAGAACGGAATGAGTGCCGTGGATGTGAGCAGGTGGTGGTGTAACAATACTCAGAGCCATCATCATCATCACAGTCACCATCGTCATCATCATCGTCGTTATCCATCTCTCGCACAAACACCACCACTGTCGTCATGATCATCAAATCACTATTATGATCATATTAATCAGCATTGTTATCATGTATGAGTCCGTGGGTCTCTGTGTGAGTCTATGGGTCTCTGTGTGAGTCTATGGGTCTCTGTGTGAGTCTATGGGTCTTTGTGAGTCTATAGGTCTCTGTGTGAGTCGATGGGTCTCTGTGTGAGTCTATGGGTCTCTGTGTGAGTCTATGGGTATCTGTGTGAATCTGTGGGTCTCTGTGTGAGTCTGTGGGTCTCTGTGTGAGTCTATGGGTCTTTGTGTGAGTCTATGGGTCTCTGTGTGAGTCTATGGGTCTTTGTGTGAGTTTATAGGTCTCTGTGTGAGTCTATGGGTCTCTGTGCGAGTCTATGGGTCTGTGAGTCTGTGGGTCTCTGTGTGAGTCTGTAGGTCTAAGTGTGAGTCTATGGGTCTCTGTGTAAGTGTGAGTCTATGGGTGTCTGTGTGAGTCTATGGGTCTATGTGTGAGTCTATGTGTCTCTGTGTGAGTCTATGGGTCTCTGTGTGAGTCTATAGGTCACTGTGTGAGTATATGGGTGTCTGTGTGAGTCTGTGGGTCTCTGTGTGAGTCTATGGGTTTCTGCTGTGGGTATCTGTGTGAGTCTATGGGTCTCTGTGTGAGTCTACGTATGTATGTTGAATTTTTTTCGCACCGTACGTAGCCAATCGCGCTAATCGGAGGTGCGGGAGGGGGGAAGGACAATACACTAAACACAACAACAACAGGAAGCAGTTCTGAAGAACATGAGTTTTTAACCTCGACTTTTTTTTTAAATGACAAAAAACATTCAACGAAAGAGAGACAGCGAGACAGAGGTGAGTGTCATTAACCACGTCTGATTTGCTGACAGCGTCGTCAACAAATGAAAAATAGGAAGAGGTTTAACCCTTTCTGGAGTTGTGTTACGATGTTCTAACACCAAATAGAAACCTTTTTCAAGACATGATGGACTGCGTTAACCACCACACAGTACCTGTGGTAGCAAACAAACATGCACTGATAATATAATTAATATGGCGTTGTGTTTTGAAGCTTATTTTTCGTAATTTGATACTGGCAAAACACATTCCTGCGTAGGGAGCTGGTAGGAACGTTGGGTTGCTCGGTCAATGGCCAGGGTCAACGGCGGCGTGGTGTATTCCGCAAATATGCTCGACTGTGAGGGCGGGCACAAGCCGGCGTGAGTAGGTTAAACGTTGAGTTTTATAAGGGCACCACGGGGTGACCAGCCCCTCCCCACCCAGCCCCACCCCTCCCACCCCCCACCCAACCCCTCCCCACCCTCCCTACCCAGCCCCTCCCTACCCTCCCCTCCCCACCCCACCCAGCCCCACCCTCCCCTCCCCACCCAGCCCCTCCCCACCCAGCCCCACCCCTCCCATTTTTGGATCCACGACGGACGGACGGACACAATAATCCCCTGTGGGCTGGCGTAACCAGGAGGTTCCTCCCAGTAGAAGGTATCCCATGCTGTAGCTGCTCACGCCGAGCTACAAATTCCCTGAGAGTGGCATTGTCCTGGTGCCGTTCGTCTTTTGGCGTCCTTCTCTGGCCTGACACTGCTGGCGTGACGAGGCCAAACAGAAGGCTGCTGCTGCCTCTGGGGTAGGTCAAACAGTCTCAAAGACGATGCCGCATCTGCTATCACGGCATGCGTGTGTGCATGTTTACCGCAAGTAGCCTGTGGTGGTTGACGCTGTGACTTGATAGAATCCATTTGGTGTTTGGACATCTTAGATTTGAAGCTTTCGTGACTGCAAGGATTCATATTCTTAGGTTTTTTCGGTAAAGTCACGTAGCTAAAAAATTAAAATTAATAAAATAAAATAAAAATCACGACCTTTCGGAGGCAACACAAGCTTCCGTCTTCAGGTGGAACCGTCACAGCACGATTGCTGTATCAAGTGAGAAAAATTCCAAGAACACAGTATTTGTATATATACTGGTTGAGGGTGGGAGGAGCCAAGGTAGGCCCTGGATATTATTATTGTGAGGTTCGGTGCGGCTGAAGCACGCTGTTTTTATTTTACTTTTATTAATTTTAATTTTTTACCTACGTGACTTTACAGGAAAAAAACCTAAGAATAGTTGGACATCTGAACACAGAGAAGGGTAATCCCCCATTGTTATGTCTCCTCATTTAACACGTAGCAAGCTTTCGCGACCAATATCATCCATAATAGAGGCTTTTTGGGTGAGATCTCGTAAATATATAAATCGTGTTGTTAAACCCGCCACCACCCGAAGCAACAGCCGGTAAGGTTCGTCACCTAAACCACGCAGCTGTAGTAGCAGCAGCAGCGGCAGATTGCCTGCGCGCAAAACAAGAAAACCGCCGACCCGCGGTTTGCCACGCGGCTGGTCCCAAGGGTTTGCCGCGTGGCCAACACGAGAGTGGCGCGCACACAAACAATGTTCGCCACGACACCCAACGACCACCGCTGGGCGGAAGGCCTTCCCCCCCCCCCCCCCCCGGGGCCCTTGTTTGACCATACTTCACCACGCCGGTCGGGGGTCAGGGTCACTCGGGGTCAGGGTCACTCGGGGTCAGTGTCAGGATCACTCAGGGTCAGTGTCAAGGTCACTCTGGGTCAATGTCAGGGTCACTCGGGGTGAGTGTCCAGGTCACTTGGAGTCGGTGTCAAGGTCACTCTGGGGGTCAGTGTCAGGGTGACTCGGGGTCAGTGTCAGCTGCTTTCGACTCTCCCGCTGGCTGTGGGCTCAGCTATAGGTGATGATGGTGATGATGGTGATGGTGGTGGTGATGGTGTTGATGATGATGGTGATGATGATGGTGATGACGGTGATGATGATGACGGTGATGATGATGACGGTGATGATGATGGTGATGATGGTGATGATGATGGTGATGATGGTGATGATGGTGATGATGATGGTGATCTTGTTGCTACTGTTGCTGCTGCTGCTGATGTTTTTGCTGCAATTGCTGTTCCGATTTTTTCTGCTTCTGCTGTTCCTGTGACTGCTGCTCCTGCTGCTGCTGCTGTTCCTGTGACTGCTGCACCTGCTGCTGATCCTGCTGTTCCTGTTTTTGCTGTTCCTGCTGCTGTGCCTGCTGTTGCTGCAGCTGCTGTTCATCCTGCTGCTGCTGCGGCTGCCGCTGCTCCTGCTGCTCCTGATGTTCCTGCTGCTGCTGCTCCTGCTGCTGCTGCTGTGGCTGCTCCTGCGCTTGCTGCTGCTGCTGCGGGCGTAGCAGGAAGCGGGCGGTCGCGTCCTTGGTGCCATCGCAGGTGCCAAGCGGAGCGAAGCCGGCCGCCCCGGCCAACTCCGTCACTCGCTCCACGTAGCCAGCCGCGGCCTTCGCATTGAGGTCCAGCACGAACCTGCACGTTCATGTCCAGCACACGCGCACACACACACAGAGACACTCACACACGCACACACACGCGCACACACACGCGCAAACACACGCACACAACAACAACAACAACCGCCATTCGCCACTAAGTGACGGTGACGTCACCACGATGCTTGTGCCAGGCCAAGTGCACCTTGACGCCACGTGAAGTGTCGAACGCCCGCTGGCAGGAGGTCACGGGGCAGACCCAGGTGCCACGGGTCGACTGACCGAGATGACCGAGATGACTGGCTGATGCACCACCTGTGCCCCCTACTGTGCCAACTTGCTGTGCTTTAGCCACCCGGCGCTCCGCTCGTTGTTGTGAGCGTCGCTCCTCCGCCCTCCGTTGTTGTTGGAGGGCGACTGCCTCCAACTGCCCAGTAGCGTCCTTCACGAGCCTCCTCCACTGAGGCCGATCTTGACACCGCTGGTACCAGTCATCGGCAAGTCCACTCAGCTCCACGTCCTCCTGTACCACATCACTCCATCTCTTCTCCAGCCCGTGCCGCGCCCGTCTAGCCCCCTCGATCCGGCCGAACAAAAGCTGTTTAGGCATGCGGTGGCTGGGCATGCGGGCTACATGACCCAGCCAACGCAGCCTTGCCTGCCGGAGGAGCTCACTGATGGGACTTTGCCCAGATCTTTCAAGGATTTGTGAGCTCCTCACACAATCCAGCCTGGTTAAACCCAGGATGGATCGTAGGCAGGCCAGCCTAAATGTTTCCAACCGGCGAAGATGCTCCACCAGGGGGGTTACACTGACACACACACAGACACACACACACGCACACACAAACAGTGACACCCACACACAGCGAGAAGCGCTGTGGGCTAGGGACAACTCACTTGACGGTCTCCACAATGAGGGTGGCCTTGTCTGCCGCCACCTCCTCCAGGGCGGGCGCCAGATGGTGGACCATGCTGCAGCGATAGCACCACACCTCCAATTAGCACTACACTACTATACACTACACTATACACTACACTACTATACACTACACTATACACTACACTATACACTACACTATACACTACACTATACACTACACTACTATACACTACACCCGCTCGCTCACGCACCACTCAGCCAACCACCCACTCACTCGCTCACTCATCCATCCACCCACTCATCCATACACCCACCCAGCCACCCACTTACTCAGCTACCCACTCACTCACTCTCAACAACACACTAACTCACTAAGTCACCCACCAGCTCGCTCATGAACCACTTAGCCAACCATCCGCTCATTCGCTCACTCATCCACCCACCCACTCATCCATCCACCCACCCACTTACTCAGCTACCCGCTCACACACTCACTCTCAACAACACACTAACCCACTAAGTCACCCACCCACTCGCTCACTCATCCACCCACCCACTCATCCATCCACCCACCCACTTACTCAGCTACCCGCTCACACACTCACTCTCAACAACACACTAACCCACTAAGTCACCCACCCACTCGCTCACTCATCCACCCAGCCGCACGATGAGCGCGGCTGGCCACGTGCGATGCGAAAGAAGTTCAACAGACACGCGTGCGTACGCGCGTGTCTGCTCTCGCCGTCGCTCAACGCGTGCAAACATTGCCACGGTCTGCCACGGTCTGCCACGGTGCATCTCAGCCGTGAGCCTCTTTCTCTCTCTCTCACCTGTTCGCAAAGTAGATGACGTTGAAGAGCTTCCGGAACTTTGCCTTTAGGTGCAGGGTCTGCAGCGCGTTCAAGGGCAGGAGGCTCACCCGCACGTCCCCAATGCTGATGTAGTCGCAGTCTGTGAGCAGAGAGAGAGAGACAGAGGCCAGGGGGCGACGTCGCCACCCGTCCATTCACTCTGCTCGCTTAGGTCATTGTGTGTTGTGTGCGCGTACGTACAATCTGTCGCACGCGCACCCACCGCCTACCGTGCGGGAAGGTTGTGATGCACGTGAGGGATTAGAGATCAAGGAACCGGAGAGGGAAGGGAGGCCGGGACGGATGTCCCCGAGATGGATGACAGAGAGGAGGAGGAGGGCACGGGTCGAGGAAGAGGTGGAGGAGGAGGAATGACCGGGCCAAGATATCGGTGATGATGAAAGGCGATGATGATGATGATAAGAGGGTGATGGTGATGATGATGATGATGAGAGGGTGGTGGGATGATGATGAGAGTGTGGTGATGATTATGATGAGAGGATGGTGGTGGTGGTGATGAGAGGGTGGTGGTGATGAGAGTGTGGTGGTAGTAGTGGTGATGAGAGAGTGGTGATGGTGGTGATGAGAGGGTGGTGGTGGTGAGAGAGTGATGATGATGAAAGGGTGGTGGTGACGATGATAAGAGGATGGTGGTGATGATGAGAGTGGTGATGATGATGATGAGAGTGTGGTGGTGGTGGTGATGAGAGTGTGGTGGTAGTAGTGGTGATGAGAGAGTGGTGATGGTGGTGATGAGAGGGTGGTGATGAGAGAGTGGTGATGATGATGAAAGGGGAGGAGGGAAGAGAGAGGGAAGGAGCGAGCGGGAGGGAGCTGCACGGAGGAGGAGGAGGAGGAGCGGCGTCTGTTTTCACAGTGGGCGGGGACAGGGGAGGAGGGGCTCAGGGTGGGGGTGGCCACGTGGGAGTCACGTGGTCCACTGGAGGCTTGAGCTGCTTTAGAGAGACTTCAGTCAGCTGGAAGATCATTTAAATTGGTACAATTATGATTGATCAGAGATGCAACTAACAGGGAGCCACAACTTGCTTTCATTTATATATTTTAAACAACTATAGATGGTATTTCAATATATACAGTGAGGGAAAAAAGTATTTGATCCCCTGCTGATTTTGTACGTTTGCCCACTGCCAAAGAAATGATCAGTCTATAATTTTAATGGTAGGTTTATTTGAACAGTGAGAGACAGAATAACAACAACAAAATCCAGAAAAACGCAATTTAATTGATTTGCATTTTAATGAGGGAAATAAGTAAGTGATGGTGCTTCCAGTGGCAGATTTGTGTCAGACCGGCGCAACGGTGAGTAAGGCAAAACACAATTGACTTGACTATGCAGGTAAAGACGTCTCTGGATTCCAGCTCACCTGGATCCTGTTGACTCCCATCCTCAGGTGTTCCACCCACCGCCACCTCGTCCACAACCTCATCGTCCTTCGCTTTGTCCACCCCTTCCTTCTCCGCCTCGTTTGTCTCCTTCAAGTCATCCACCCGCTCATCCACCACCTCCTCGGTTGACACCTCCGCCACCTTGAAAATGAGACTCACGTTACCAGAGACCCTCGAACAGACTGTTTGGGCAAGTGCTGTCACCTCATGAGCCTCCTCTTTCTTGCCATCACCACCACCACCATCATCACCACCACCATCACCACCACCATCACCACCACCATCACCACCACCATCACCACCACCATCACCACCACCACCATCATCATCACCACCACCACCATCATCACCATCATCACCACCATCACCACCACCATCATCATCACCACCACCATCACCACCATCATCATCATCATCGTCTTTGTCATCAACGTCCCGCTCCTCTATAACCTCCTCCCCCGCGACCTCTGCGAGGGGCGAGCTGCTGGACAATGCCGACTCATCACGACGGTAGCGGCGGTATCACCTCATCCTCCTTTGCTTCCTCCGTTCTCTTGCCACCATCGCCCTCCTCCACCTCCTCCACCTCCTCCACCTCCTCCACCTCCTGCTGCTCCTCCGTGACCTCCGTGGGGGCGGCTGCTGTCGCCTCGTGCGTGGTGGCGTAGCGGCGCCCCGTGGCCAGCTCGTGGAAGGCGGCCGTCAGGTTGTGCAGCGACACGTCCTGGGAGGTCTGCGGCGACGCCACGAGGACGCTAAGAGGCCCCCGCCCCCTTGACCCCCTGACCCCTGACCCCTGACCCCCCCCAACCTCCGACCCCGAGGCGGGTGTGCTGTCAGCGAGCGCCCGTAAACGTCGACGGGGTGGCGTGGGACCAGCAACCCCACGCGCCCCGGCCGCCTTTGTCTCCCCGGCGGCAGGTGTTTACACACCGCACCGGGGGTGACTCGTTTGAGGCTGGGTCGACCTAGGGGAGGCCCAGGACCGGTTTAGGTAATCGTCACCGGTGTTGGCCGTGAGTGGAAATCGAACTCGGGCGGCCCGGGGTCGTAGCGGGGCGTAGCGCTAAACCGCTGCACCACCGCCAGAGGTCGCAACCGGGTACCCGATACCCGGCTACCCGTACCCGATACCCGGCTGGGTACGGGTACGGGTACCCGTTTGCGACCTTGGTGCGGCTGGGTACGGGTACGGGTAAGGAATCAAAACCTGTTTGCGACCTCTGACCACCGCCTGGGCCCTGTGCACACACACACACATACGCGTGTGTGTGTGTGCCTGCGTCCTGTACACACACACACACGCGTGTGTGTGTGTGTGTCTGGGTGCTGTACACACACACATACACGTGTGTGTGTGTGACTGGGTCCTATACACACACACATACGCATGTGTGTGTGTGTGTACAGGACCCAGCTACATGGACAACATCTCAATTACCCGGTGCCTTCAACAGTTAATCAGCTACGTACGCCACTCACTGTAAGGAGCATTGATCTGTATCGATCGCATCTATAAGAGTGTGAGCTGTGAGCCGTGAAGAATTGAATACCGTGTTAGCGGACGGAAGGACACACACACAAAGATAAAGACAAAGATCCCCCGCGTAGCCGTAATAGACTGCAGGGGGCAAGTGCTGTTAGCGAGCACCTATGAAGGCCGACACGGCACGCGAGGGGGTGGGTGGCCAGCACCACGCCGGGCCGCCTTTGTCTCCCCAGTGACAATGTTTACACACTGCACCAGGTACTAATTTGAGGCTGAGTCGACCTAAGGGAGACCCAGGACCGGTTCAGATAATCGTCACCGGTGTTGGCCGCGAGCGGGAATCGAACTCGGATCGCCGGGTTCGTAGCGCAGCATAGCGCTAACCACTACGCACGCGCACACACACACGCACACACACGCTCACTCACGCTCACTCACGCTCACGCACACACACACACTCACACACACGCACACACACACACGCACACACACACAGTCACGCTCACACACACACTCACATGCTCACTCACGCTCGCACACACACACACGCACACTCACGCTCACACACACACACGCACACACGCTCACTCACGTGCGTGTGGATCCCGTTGGCCGTCTTGAGTAGTCGGCGTTCCTCCGTGTCCACTCCGAACGCCACGAAGGGCCCCGTCACGATGTCCCCCCAGTAGCCCCGCGCCACCACCTTCTCCCCTCGCTGACACGCGCCCGGCACACCACGTCCAGCATGCGGGAAGCCGTGACCCGTGGAACCGTGACCCCTCACCCGTTATCCGTGAAACCGTGACCCCTGACACGTGACACGTGACCCGTTATCCGTGATCTGCGACCGGGGATCCGTGACGCGTGACCCCTGACCCGTGGCCGGTGCCCCCTGACCCGTGACGTGTGACCCCTGACCCGTGGCCGGTGACCCCTGACCCGCGAGCCGTGCGGTCACCGCACCTGGCTGACGACGAGGTCGGACGCCAGCGTCCTGTTGGCCACGTCGTAGACGCCCTCCCTGGCCTCGAACGCCACTCCCCGCTCCCTCCAGCGCGAGTACTCACGGCTGCTTATGACCCCCGCCTGAGCGACGAGTTGCAGTGGGGATGAGGGGGGGGCGGCGAAGGTCAGAGTTCAAATACACACGGCGGAGAGTCCCACTCACACAGAGACCCATAGACTCACACAGAGACCCATAGACTCACACAGAGACCCATAGACTCCTACAGAGACCCATAGACTCACACGGAGACCCATAGACTCACACGGAGACCCATAGACTCACACAGAGACCCATAGACTCACACGGAGACCCATAGACTCGCACAGAGACCCATAGACTCACACAGAGACCCATAGACTCCTACAGAGACCCATAGACTCACACAGAGACTCATAGACTCACACAGAGATCCATAGCCTCACACAGAGACCCATAGACTCCTACAGAGACCCATAGACTCACACAGAGACTCATAGACTCACACAGAGATCCATAGCCTCACACAGAGACCCATAGACTCCTACAGAGACCCATAGACTCACACAGAGACCCACAGACTCACTGGGGTGAGTGTGGGTGTGGGGTGGGTGGGTGTGGGGTGTGGTGGGTTGGTGGGTGTGGGGTGGGTTGGTGGGTGTGGGGTGGGTGGGTGTGGGGTGGGTGTGGGGTGGGGTGGGGTGGGTGTGGGGTGGGGTTGGTGTGGGGTGGGGTGGGGTGGGTTGGTGCGTGTGGGGTGGGTGTGTGGGTGTTGGGTGAGTGGGTGGGTGTGGGGTGTGTGGGTGTGTGTGTGTGTGTGGGGTGAGTGTGTGTGTGGGGTGGGGAGGTGGGTGTGTGGGTGTGAGTAGGTGTGTGTGTGTGTGCGTGTGTGGGTGTGGAGTGTGTGTGTGTGTGGGGTGGGTGGGTGTGTGGGTGAGTGGGTGGGTGTGAGGTGTGTGGATGTGTGTGTGTGTGGGGTGAGTGTGTGTGTGTGGGGTGGGGTGGGTAGGTGGGTGTGTGGGTGGGTGGGTGTGAGTGGGTGTATGTGTGTGTGGGGTGTGTGTGTGGGTGGTGTGTGTGGGGTGTGTGGGTGTCGTCGTGGTCTCTGCGTAATCCGCTCACTCCGCGCTCGTGCAGCTTCATTGCGAGGTCCCAGTCGTACGCTCCGTGCCGCGCGTCGTAGCGTGCGCCCAGGTACCGCCGGCAGCGCGCGTCCCACAGGTGCTCCGGACGGAAGGCGCTCGCCTCGCCCCGCCGCCAGAAGTTGAAGATGCCCTCCAGGCGGTCTCGCTCCTTGAACTGCCCGGCGGGAGGAGCAGGCTGATGTGACCCGACCGCTCGATTGCGACGATTCCCGAGTTCATTCTCTCGGGCGAGGCACCAACGAGACTAATACTAACAGCCCTCTGCCAATCCACTGCTAGATGGAAGACGATCTCGCCCACACTGGGTAAGGTGGTCCTACGCAGGTCTGTTTGACCGTACTTCCCCACGCTGGTTAGTGTGGTCTGGTGAAGAGGAGGCGGTCCAGATGTTGCTTTCGTATCTTATTTGTATAAAGCACAATTTATTGATTCTCCAAAATCTTCTAATCTCATTTGCACCACCTCACGTCCTGTTGACTGCCCCCTCTCCTCCCCTCTGATCGCCTTTCCATCGTTACTCTCACCCATCTGGCACGTGGCGACTTCTTTCGCGCCGCGCGTAGCCAACCGGAGGCGCGGTGAAGGGCAACAGACGAGGTGACATCGTGAGCTGGGGCCATGCTACGAGGTACGAACGAAATCGACTATTTAGGTGGACAGGAGCGTGCACGGGATGAGGAATGGGTGGTCACGGTAGAGGGGTGCGTGGGGGATAGGGCAGGGGAGGCGTGTGATGTCACGTGTGACGTCGCCGCGTGTGACGACGACGCTGTCGTTAATGACGTCACGTGTGACGACGCCGTGTGTGACGACACTGTGTGTGACGACGCTGTCGTTAATGACGTCACGTGTGACGTCGCCGTGTGTGACGACAATGTGTGACGACGCTGTCGTTAATGACGTCACGTGTGACGACGTCGCGTGTGACGACGCCGTGTGTGACGACAATGTCGTTAATGACGTCACGTGTGACGAGGTCGCGTGTGACGACGCCGTGTGTGACGACACTGTGTGTGACGACACTGTGTGTGACGACGCTGTCGTTAATGACATCACGTGTGACGACGTCGCGTGTGACGACGTCGCGTGTGACGTCGCCGAGTGTGACGTCGCCGCGTGTGACGATGACGACACCCGCAAGAAACCAGCGGGCGGGGGCCGCCCTTGCCCAGAGCCCCGAGCCGCGCCAAGCTGGCGAGCTCCACGACCGCTCGGCCTCATCGCGGCACCCGGGCGAGAGGACAAAGACAAAGCCGTAGCCGTAGACAAACTGCGTTCACCTTCAGGGCCGACAAGTCGAGCCAGGGCAGCCGGCGGGCAGCCAGCTCCTGGTCAGTGACCACCTCCACGAGCAGCTGCGCCTGCTGGCGCAGGTAGGTGGCGGTGTGCGAACGCAGCAGGCTGTTGCCAAACAGCTCCACAAAGAGCTCGCTCTTCTCTGCAAGGCAATTGTTGTAACGCTGGTCAACACACTTTTTGTGGCCGATTCCAAATGTGGCATCGGTTTTTGTCCATCACATCAGGTTTTTGAGATGTCAAATATTACATTTTCAATAAAAACTGCGGAAGAAAAATATTAAGTAGATGTGGATAGCTACATAAAATGGTATTATAAAACACACTATCCTAAAAATACAGCACCATGTTTTAACACTAAAGCAGTCACTGACTCGCAACAACTTGCAATCATAAGTGACGGAGTTAATTTTGAGTAAAATCAATGAAAATGGGTTATGCCGATAGCATAAAAATGAGATGTGATAAATCAAATCTGAGATCAGATTTGAAATCAGCACCCTGAAATTAGTCTAAAACAGCTGCAAAAGTCCAGGCCAGAAAAAAAAATGTTTGTTGACCAGTGTAATTGTTGTTGTTGTTGTTGTTGTTGTTTTCGTGCACCGAGCCCCAAGGCTCTGGGCATCTGTGAGAACAACTTCGTGGCTTAACGGATTCCTCCGATTAGCGCCGTTGGCCACGACGTGCGGTGCGAAAGAAGTTCAACGTACATCAACACACGCGGATTCTGATTCTCTTTCAGGAGGGTCCCGACAAGTTTTTTCACGTGAGACTGGCGATGTTGCTGTAAGTCCCAGTGGAACCGCGGTGACTAGGAGATGTTAACTATCTCTCGCCTGGTATGCAGGGGGTCGTGGGTTTCGATCCAGACCCTGGCGCCTGCTGCTGTATATTTGGATTCTAGATTTGAAGCTTTCGTGACTGCAAGGATTCATATTCTTGGGTTTTTTCGGTAAAGTCACGTAGGTAAAAATTTCTAAATTTAAAGTAATAAAAGTAAAATTATATATAGTAAAATAATATAATAAAATAAAATAACATTAATGAAAAATTTTTACCTACGTGACTTTACCGAAAAAACCCAAGAATATGTATATTTGTAGTTTGCGTGTCTCTCTCCCCGTGGAGAACTCACCCACTCACTTATATACCCACTCACTCACTCACCTACCCACTCACCAACTCACTCACCAGCACACTCATTTAGCAACTTACTCATTCACCCACCCACTCACTCACTAATTTTCCCCGACTAACCAACTCACTCACTCAATACTCACCCATTCAAAGATCGATCATCGTGGCCAAAGCCACTGGAGCCACCGCACCGCATCGCTTTCTACCCTCCGCCAGACCCGGCAACACTCAACGATTGACTGAAAACATGTTAACATGGTTTTGTACTGGTAGGAACCTCCTGGTTACACCAGCCCACAGGGGATTATTGTGTCCGTCCGTCCGTCGTGCATCCAAAAATTGGAGGGGTGGGGCTGGGTGGAGAGGGGAGGTTGGGGAGGGGCTGTGTGGAGAGGGGAGGGTGGGGAGGGGCTGGGTGGGGAGGAGAGGGTGGGGAGGGGCTGGGTGGGGAGGGTGGGGAGGGGCTGGGTGGGGAGGGTGGGGCTGGGTGGGGAGGGGAGGGTGGGGAGGGGCTGGGTGTGGAGGGTGGGGAGGGGCTGGGTGGGGATGGTGGGGCTGGGTGGGGGGTGGGAGGGGCTGGTCACCCCGTGGTGCCCTTATAAAACTCAACGTTTAACCTACTCACGCCGGCTTGTGCCCGCCCTCACAGTCGGCTATATTTGCGGAATACACCACGCCGCCGTTGACCCTGGCCATTGACCGAGCAACCCAACGTGTTCCTACCAGCTCCCTCCGCAGGAATGTGTTTTTCTAAAACCTACGTGACTTTACCGACAGAACCAAAGAGTAATTCCTGCAGTAGCGAAATCTTCGAATCTCATCTTAATACGGTGTTTATAGGGGACCGCTGTTATCATTGTTACTGTCGTCGTCGTGATTTCGCACAGCGGTGGGTGACTGGCCCGTGGGCGGTAGGGTTGTGACGCAGGAGGCCACGTGGCTCACCCTGCAGGCCCATGCGGTGAGGAGCCTCCAGGGCAAGGGTGAGGAGCAGCAGTTGTCTCCCGTACAGCTCCAGGAAGCTCTCCAAGACGTAGAACTGTGTCCACACGTGGTCGACAACAACGGCGGGACACTCGTTAGCGCTGTTTTTGTTATACGTATATCGCCGAGTTTTTGCAAAGTCTGTAGTTGTTGTTGTTGTGTTTAGTTTGTTGTCCTTCCATTGCGATAAGCACGGTTGGCTGCGTACAGTGGTGTGAAAGAAGTTCAACATACAAACATAGACTCACAGAGACCCATAGCATCACAGAGACCCATACACACAGAGACCCACAGACTCACACAGAGACCCATAGGCTCACACAGAGACTCATAGACTCACAGAGACCCATACACACACAGAGACCCATAGACTCAAACAGAGACCCACAGACTCTCATAGAGACTAACACAGAGACCCATAGACTCACACAGATACCCGTAGATTCATGCAGAGACCCATAGACTCAAACAGAGACCCACAGACTCACAGAGAGAATCACACAGAGACCCACAGACTCACACAGAGACCCACAGACTCACACACAGACCTACAGAATCCCACAGAGACCCACAGACTCACAGAGACCCATACACACACAGAGACCCATAGACTCAAACAGAGACACACAGACTCACACAGAGACCCATAGACTCACGCAGAGACCCATAGACACACACAGAGACCCATAGTTTGTTGTGATGATAGTGGTGGTGATGATGCTAGTGATGAAAGTGATGATGATGACAATGGTCGTGATGATGGTAGTTGTGAAGATGGTAGTGACGACGACGATGACAGTGATGATGATGATGGTAGTGATGACGATGGTCGTGATGATGATAGTTGTGAAGATGGTAGAGATGATGATGATGGTCGTGATGATGATGGTCGTGATGAAGATGGTAGTGATTATGGTAGTTGTGATGATGGCAGTGATGATGACGATGACAGTGATGACGATGGTTGTGATGATGATAGTTGTGAAGATGGTAGTGACGACAATGATGACAGTGATGATGATGGTAGAGATGATAAGGATGATGATGACGACGGTAGTGATGACGATGGTAGTGATGATGGTAGTTGTGATGATGGTAGTGACCATGACGATGACAGTGATGATGATGACAGTGATGATGATAACGACAGTAGTAATGATGATGATGCCGCTGGTCGTGATGACGACGATGACGATGTCAGCGCTGACGATGACAGTGCTCACGTGAAGATGGTAGTGACGATGACGATGACAGTGATGATGATGATGGCAGTGATGATGATGATGATGGCGCTGGTCGTGATGACGACGGTGACGATGACAGCGCTCACGTGAAGATGGTAGTGACGATGATGGTGACAGTGATGATGATGGCAGTGATGATGATGATGATGATGCCGCTGGTCGTGATGACGACGGTGACGATGACAGCGCTCACGTGAAGATGGTAGTGACGATGATGATGACAGTGATGATGATGATGATGACAGTGATGATGATGATGACAGTGATGATGCCGCTGGTCGTGATGACGACGATGACAGCGCTCACGTGGATCCGCGCTCGGGGC